GCTTATCGGCTCTTAATCCGAATGCTCTTGCATTTTCTTCGGGTTTTTGCTTGAGTGTATTAAACTCTAGTTGTAAGTGTGTTGTGCTTTTGCGGCTCAAATAGCAAACTTCTAATTCTTTCTTTAGTTGTGCGAAATCTCTTATCTCTCGCGTTTGAAAGTCTATCATCGCTCTTCCTTTTAGCTTCGTGCATAGCACTGCTTCTAATAGCGTTCCTTCTTCCATAGGATTTATGTTTTTCATTGCATATGACGCGGCGCTTAAGAATTCTTGTAATTTACTCGAGGTTCCGTCGAACTCAGGTATCATGTCTCGTGCCTCTTTTAAACGTAGATATCCGATTGCGCGCTCCGCTTGGTTCCGAATATCATATGACGTTCTTCCGTACGTTACTTCGAACGGGAGGTTACTTAGCTCGCGTCTCGCGTGAAATTCGCGGCGTTCAGGATTCGCCGTTTCTAGTTGATTTACGCGATCTTGTAAGTTGCGGATTCCGTTTAATATCTCGTCGAGAATGGAATCTCTATCGTCTCGCGGCGGTTCGGCCCGTGCGGGTATCCGGTTACGGTGATTCGCCGGGGTGCCTCTTTGTGATAGCACTCGATTAAGACGGTTTATTTCTTCGTCTATTTCCTCTGGGGTTATCGGCGCGTTGTCATTTACGTTATTCGCGTCGTGGTTGCTATTTGTTGCTTCCGCCATCTCGATTACGTTCGCGTGTCTCGGGGCAGAATAATATTCTTGCGGGTCAAATACGCTACTATCATACGAGGTCAATGAAAACTCTCGTCTGTGTGTACGCCTACTGGTCGTACTGTTCGCGTCTTCGGATTGTACGTGCGCGTGTGAGGGGTGGAGTCTATTTTCGTCGGGGCAGTTATTTTGCCCTATTACCCTCGCGTCTAAAATTATAACGGAATCGTCGGTTTGTTCGCGTTCGATTACGCTGTTCTGATGTAATTCCGATTCTGATTCGCTTTCGCTTGAGTAGTACGCGTCTAAATTTCTACGCACGGTTTCGCGATTGTCGCTTACGCCTTCTTCGGTCGTTTGCACGGGGCTTAACGGTCTATTTCTACGCGCTCGTCGTGACGTCTCGCTATGGAGCCACGATTGGTTTAGTTCCGCAGGTGGATTTTCGTTTTCCGACATCTACGGTGATTGCGCTTTACATAATTTGCTTAATCGACTTACATTACGGTCGCTAGTCGCATGTTGCTGGTCGGTGCTCGTGCCGCCTTATCTGTCGGTGAGCCTCCGTTGAGGTAGGTCGGCGCCTTCTCGGGTTACGCTGCTCGCTTGTCCCTCGTCGGCCGCTACCGTGTTGTCTGCTGTTTTTGAATCTGGCTGCCTGTGTCTCCGTTGAGGATGTTGCACTGCCTCACTGATTCACTTATTTTTCTGTTTCAGCTGCCGTTCCCGTCTTCCTGCCACTGGATCCCTCACGCTGCCACCATTTTGTTGTGCCCTCTTTTTACGGCGGGACACCAGGGATCGTTTATCCACGGAGGAGGCGGGATTTATTAACAACACTTTGCAATAAATGACAACTTTAATTAATCCACTTTGCGTACAATGATTACTCGCGTGTAACGCCCGTCGCTTCGAGACTCCAATTGCCCTCTCCTCTCCTGTTGTCGCTTCCTTTTCAATCCTCGTCTTGTCCTTCGATATCGCTGAGTTGCTCGATCGTATCTGGGTCGATCGCGCAACTCATCTTTTGCTGATTCGGCGTTGCGTAATTCTCTCGGGTTTTCGCGGTCGCGTTCCCTATTGTTATTCTCGGTCTTTCTTAATATTATTATTTTATACTATAATATAATTATTTTATTATTACATTTTGATTGGAGCCGCAACACATTTAATGTAAAAATGAGATCTTCATTTTTCGAGCAAGCGGGGTAGTGACGCGGAAGCTTTTTTGTTACAAATTAAGGAGGCTCGTGCCATCACACCGATAGACAATGCCGAGTTATTTAAATGTTTGCCACTTTTCCTGTCGGATATAGCTCACGGGCTCGAAGATTAAAGGAGCTCTTGAGAATTTGATTGTCTCCCGGTGACGCATCCCGAAATTTCTCTTGACAGACAATGGTACCGAGTTTGTGAACAAAGTCATGAAAAGCTTCACCGAGAAGAATCGAATTACGCATACGACGGTACCTCTCTATCATCCCCAATCTCGTTGAAAGGGTTAAGCGAGTCTTAAAAATCATGATTGTGGCCTTTACTGAAAAGGACTATAGAAAATGGGATACCAATCTACTCCACTTTCGTTTTGCGTACAATACTTTTTATTCGTCCCTGGGTATCTCTCCGGTGTTCTTGAATCTTGGGCGCAAATTAACGCCGCTCAACTCCTTGCGCGACCGTCACCAGAGAGTGACGGAGGTCGAGAGGCGGGATCCTACGAATTTGGGCCAGGCTAATCAGAGGCAAGCCGCGATATAATTTACGTAGACGACCGCGAAGGTTTCGCGTTGACGAACCGATGTTGAAACGGCAGCGCGTGCTGTCGTCCGCTGCATAGAATAAGGCGAGGAAATTGGCACAAAAATTCCAGGGACCCTTCCGGATTAAGCAGGTGATATATGAGTTGGTTGCGCCGGACGGATTGCCTGCCAGTAAAATACACATTATATAAGGACCTTAAGCCCTATCCTCTTGATCTCTAGAGTTATTGAGACCCGGCGCTTGTGGAGAAGGTTCTGACTCCGCATCGGGAGTCATATCGATATGACTGACCCAGGATTCTGAATGGACCTGGAGGAGATGGCTACCCAAGTCTGCGACTACCAATTGACGGACCAAGGTGCCGTCGTTCAGGATTTCCCGCCAAAAGTGGAGGCGGCAACATAGACCCTAGTAGTCACGCGGAAAACCATCGCCGTGCAGACAGAGGGCCCAGAGCTGCGTCATGTGGCCACCTAGGTCCCGGAGCCGCCCCTGCAGGAGACGGGAGAGGAGACCTCGACCCCGCGAAAGCCTCGGGGCGGAGGCACCCGGGCGAGAAGTTTCATCTGGTGTTGGAACTGTGCGGTGACGGGGCACTCATTCCCTGAGTGTCCGTCCCCGCCCCGCCAGTTCTGTTACAGCTGCGGAGGAACGCAACCCGAAAACGACCGGCGCCCGACCCCCCCCCCCCCCCCAGGAAACGCCACCACCCCATCGCCAACGCATGCCGCAAGAGGAAAATGAAACCCCTAGTCTACTTTAAAGCCCTAATAATAGAAAGAATGGTTACTCATCGCCGTCATGTACAATTCCAGGGTCAACAAGACCCTGTTGCCGCACGCGCGTCCTCCTTTCGCCGGAGGACCCGCTCCGCAAAAACAGAAAAGGCATTCCAAGCCTCGCGTGATCTACAAATATGCCCGACAATTGCCGCCAACGAGAGGTCTTGACCGATAACAGCGGTCAGCTCACCGCGTTCCAGAGTCCAAAAACTACACGACGCGACAGTGTGCTCCGACGTGTCGTCGGCCGTGAGGCAGTACCTGCACGTCGGAGATTCCTCCCTTCCAATCCTATGTAAAAAGGATCCAAAACAGCCATGGCCAGTCAAGAGTTGTGTTATTCGATAAGTCAGAAAACTCGATCGTCGGTCGATCCAGAAGTCAAAAGACGGAAAGATCGCCTCACGCGTTCTTCTGCCAGCCATTCTATCGTTAGAAATATGCTCCAACCATTGTTCCCGCAGAACACACCACTCAGCCTCCCTCACGTCCGAGGGGGAGTCAACGTTATACATGCCAGTCTCCTTAAGCTCCCGTAAACAAAAATATGATCGTCGTAAGTATTCCGCGTACAAATAAAAAGGGGGAATTCTTGCCAGTAATGAAGCTGCCTCGTATGAGACAGTGCGATATGCCATAATTGTTCGTAAGACCGATAGGCGAAATGCCCTTCGCATAACCCGCTGCTTGCTTTGGGAAGATGACAGTACCTCGCTCCAGATGAGTGCCGCGTACAGTGCAATGGATAGAATTACTCTGTAGTAGAGCCTACGCTTGTTTTCCACTGGGCCACGCAAATTTGGCAGGATTCCGCATAGGGTCCTGCTAACCCTAAATACCATTTCCGCGATATATGAAAGGTGCTTACTAAAAGACTTCCTAAAGTCTATAATCACCCCGAGGTATTTCATACTTTTCGACACACTAATCTTAACGCTTTCGAATGGCTCGAAGAAGGCGTCTCGCGGGCACTTACCGAAAAACATGGCCTCTGATTTTGGCCAAGAAACCTTAAGACCAAGAAGCTTAATGTTTGCCATTATATTTTTCAAGCATTCCGTCGCTAACGCGCATGCAGCGTCAAAATCATCCTCTTCTACGAGCAGCAATGTGTCGTCCGCGTAGCACACAATGTGACAACCACGAGGAATGAGCGTCCTCAGCACCAAGTCAAACGCAAGGTTCCACAGGAGGAGGCCCAGCACCGCGAACCTTGCGGGACCCACCTGCGAACCCGCCTCGTACGTCGAGATCCATCGGATTCCATATAATTATATATGGCCATATATAAGCATATATGATTATATACTCGGGAAAAAATACCTCTTATTTGTTCATATTAGTAAATATATAATTATATGTATAGTCATATAAGAAATGGAAATATAATCTTGAACAATATTATATGGCTAAATCTCTTTAAGTATACTTCCTTTATATAGCCATATATGGTTTTATATACTAGTATATTATCATGTGTAATCATGTGAAAGTATATTTATAAGGTTAAAGATAATCATATATAAATATATACTCTATAATGGATCTATCCATATAAATTTGTATAACTGTTATAAATATTCTTCTATTATATTATTTTACTTGACAATATCAAATTAATATAAAATATATTATTTTTAGTTTCAGTTTACACAATTGCGTTGTAAGTCCGACTAGAGGCCTAGATAATCAAAGAAGCGACATTGAGGGCACGCTTGCTGATTGGCTGACCGCGGCACCAATCAAAACCGAGGCTATCGGACCCGCAGCTGATTCCGTGTGCACGTGTGCAAAGTAACGTGTTACATCAGGTTAGGTGAGTGAAAAAGATTAATATATTTTTAATATTATTAAGAAAAAAATTGTAGGACATTCGTGAAGTTTTTGGGACATCGTAAATATATGCATTTTGTGTGGATGAGGGCTATATCATACAATAATCAGTAATATATTTCTGTTTACTTGTAACTAATTAAGAGAAAATGTGATCATATTTTTAAATATTTTTATAAACTTATTACATTCGTCGTCTTTATAGAAATCAAGAGTTTGTGAATAAAGATGGTAAAAGTGTGTGAGGTATTTGGTTGTACAACAACAGAAAAAGATGGACTATGTATGCATAAATTTCCTAAGAAGAATGTGGAACATCGAAATGCGTGGGTAGCTTGGATTACTCGTAACCGTCCCGGGTGGAGTCTAAAATGTAATAGCAGAGTTTGTGAGGTATGTTATAGGATTCATAAAATATTGAAACATGCCTTTAGATGTGTGTATGTTTATCATGTATTGTCTATTTCGTTGCAGTTGCACTTTGTTCCTGAGGATTATGTAGAGAACACAAGAGGAAATGGAATTCTTCGAAGGCTGAAAACATCTGCTATTCCCTCATTGCAAGTAGAGGGAATTGAAAATAGTGAAAATCATTGTAATACGAAAACTATATACGAAGATTTCGACAAACTGTACAATGCTTGAAAGATGTAACAAATATCCCTATTATAGGTAGTAAAGAAACTCATTACTATGACACAAATTTCCTCTTGCTCCAAAGCAACTAGTTATGACACTGACATTTCAGTGGATGAGCTCGAAAGTATTAATATAAATTTCTTTGACGTGTCAAAACAATTGGCAACTGAAAAATGCCAAAAAAAGGAGGTTAAAACATTCATGGAAGCTTCATCAGCTATTCATGTACATACCAGAACTGACATATGTCCATTTAAACTTGTTAGATAAGTGGGAATAGCCAATCATATATGATATTGCTGGAGCTGTGATACATAGCATTAAGAAAGTGTGCAATACTTGTGATGTATGTTTTAATGCTGTATTATGGCAAGGTCCTAATAATCATCCATATGGATTTGTTATTGATTTACATGATTATAAGGATGGTAAATTATATAAAGTGTCTGACGATTGTTTCAAAGCTATTATGAAAGCAGAAATAACGTTTCGACAACTTAGAGACACTCTAAAAACAATAACTTATATAAACATCATAAACTTTATGGTTGAGAAACTGCAATACGTGTGGGATGGAACATATATTTCATCTTGCCATAACATCGGTCACAAAATCCTGACTAGATTTTTTACAATGAGATTAAGAATGTATCCATTTTTAAAAAAGGCGTGTTACCTGAGTGAATTTCGTTTGTATCGTAAAATTGAAGCCTCTTTTCCGCGATGCCGATTGGCTATCTCGATTGATTGCCGCGCCGTAGCTTGCTTCATCCCGTGAGGGACTGTCATCGCGGAGTGTGGCGAGTTTCGTGCGTGTAGTGCGTCGTGTGTGTCATGATGTGACAGCTCGCGTCGTGTCGTGAGGTTAATCGTCCCGCGTCGTGTCGCGATTATTATATAATAGTATAATGTTAAAGCTAAATAGCGCGCGCTAAGCGCGCGCGTCTGTAGTGTCTAGTTGTTTAAAACAAAAGGAGCAGTAATCCCAAGAAAAAAAAATCATATACAATAGCAAGACTATGGCTATGCATGCTATCGTTTAATGATTTACAAGAACATAGTCGATCTCTAATCAACATAGTTTAAGTTAAGAAAGTAATTTTTTTTTTTGCAACATTAAAGAAATTTTTTTTATTAAACAGTAACAGCATTAATTTCTAAAAAATGTTTTATGTTGCAAATATGTTAATATGTGCAATTGTTTTGTATAAGATCTTTACCCAGTAAGCAAAAAATCATTATTTCAATGTTATTGCAACGATATTCTAGAACTTGTAATGTTGTTAAATATGTAGTTCTTAATGTTGTATAGAACATCATTATGAATATACTTTGACCACGATTCCGCAATTTCAGTAATGTTGAAATGGGAGTGCCATAACGTTGCAAATAACATTTTGCTAAGGTTTTTCTATCATTCCTGTAACGTTTTTGAGATAAAAATTTAAACGAACTATCAACTTTATTACAATATTATATTAAGATTACCGTAATATTAATTCTAACGTTTATTTAAAGTTATTATTGATATTTTATTTTTATTTCAAGGAGTATGTATTTATTTTCAATAAAATGCACTACACTAATTACCATAAAAAAGTAGTTTTATTTATATGAACAAATATATACATATACATATACATATATAGGTTTTATTATGAGATTTATTTCGTGTGCCAATTATTTCTGCAAATTATCTCTGCCAATTATCTCAGAAAGTATTAATTCTAGGAAGGGATTTTTGAAGTCAACCTTCGGATAAGGGAAATTAAGGTGCCTTCTAACTCTTTTTTAGGCAATGTGATACAGGTGCTCTAGTTTAATATAACTCTTTTACTATTTTTTTCCAAACTCTTATTCTTTCCTTTTAAACAGATTATTAATCTTTCCAGATCTTTACCAAACAGTTGCTGAAAAATAAGAATTTCTCATTCAACTTCAGAAATATTTGTAACATCTTCAGTGATTTAGTTTATGTATCAAAATATATTATGTCTGTTAAGTTAGCACCCCTCCCCCTCCGCAAAAAAAGCAGAATAACACATATGTAGAAATTAAATGCTTTTTATGTGCTAATTATGTGTTCTATTCACGTTTTTTGTGCTCGAACGGTTTCATGGAAAATTGCAATTAAAAGTGGGGATGCTGGCTTAACATAAGCTAGCACCCCTACTCATTAAAATTATATTAAAAAATAAAGTACTTAATACAGTACAATTATGTGCTTTTTATGTGCTTTTAAATGTCTCAAACCAAATTAGTTTATCTGTAATAGTTTAAAAGATATACGTAAAAAAAGGATCTATGTACTACTGATATAAGAGTAAAGTATCAGTTAAAATACAGAAAGCAAAATAATTCTTGTCTTAAAATGTTTCTTGATTAATGTGTTCTCGAAATATGCACAATGAAATTTTCGTGCTTATCCCCTTTGACTGACTCGAACGTGAACACCCCATACATACAAGAGTAAAGTACCAGTTAAAATACAGATAGCGAATTGGTTTTA